TACTCCCACCCTGACACATCACCCTGGAGGTTGTGTTAAGAGCTTGTACAGAGGCAGAGGATAAAGAAGGAATTAAAAATTTAAAGACAAAATTGCCATGTTCTGTAGTTAACCTTGCTTTTAGCTTCTCCTTACGTGTTAACCAAGCAGCTGAGGGTTAGCAGGGCCTGAAATGGAAAGAATTAAACCTGTCCCTCTGTTTTTCTTCGTGCCTGATTCCAAGGGCAGTTTAAGAGAGGGAGTGTTTCCTCACATGTAGTAACTATCCACCAAAAAGGCAACACTACTTCTCAACCAGCTCTTTTGGATTGTCTCCCCTCCCTTTGGGAGCCAAGGGCAGGTGTCTTCTTTGTGACTCTGCTTCCCGAGGTCGTGGTCCTTACCATGTTCCCAAGGAATGCTGGATCAAATAAGAGAGGAGAACTCTGCATAGCAATAGATCCTCTCAGGTTACTGAACTTATCCACTCTCCTAAATTTAAGGTTGGAGGATTAGTAGTACTTAAAGGAGGACATATCTAGCCCTATACTTCCTCTTTGTCCTCTTCTCCTTCCTGCAGTAACCTCAGGTAACCCACTTGGCTCAGTCTGAAGGTGAGCTATGCCACTGAACCCCAGTGAAGTTGTTTTTCTTATGGGCTGCCTCACGATGGTTAATTTTGGCAGATTTGCACAAGAAAATCAGAAGAGATTTGCTGGAGGGGTATCAGCAATCAAGGCTCTCAAAACTTTTAGGTGGGCAAATGTGTGCCCTAAGTACTTCTAAACAGAGAGAATTTTGTTCTTTAGTGTGTATCTTGGTTAAATGATGTCATGTATGAAACTATTAATACCATTAAGGTATGTGCAAGTATGAATTCCTTGATAACATTATCAGTGTTAATCAGTTGATGCCTTAAAAGTACACACAGAAATACATTGCAGCCCCTAAAAGCTACCATTTAATCTGTCGTAACATTTTTAGAGGCTTTCTAAAGTTCCTAAAATCATTAGAAATTACCAGTTTTACTCATTATCCAAGTTGTTTGCCTCGTAATTCTTGCTCTGAGTTGTGTTAAACATGTCCTATCATGTTAAGATACGAGCAGTGTGTTCTTTTAGGGTATCTGAATAAAAAAATTATGTAAATATTTTTTTTGTTTTATAGTTTCTTACATGAAACTATAATGAGATTTTCAGGGCTGAGGAGGAGTTACTCTTCCTTTTTGTCAAATGCCATTTTTGGAAACTCCTTTTCCAAATCTCGGCCAATGTAATTAGTGGCATGTAATGATACAACAATGCAATAAATTCTTGTGTTTTGATATTTGAGGTAGGCAAGGTCATACCTGTCACTTAAAAAACTTGTCATGTTACTCCACTGTCTCAGTTCTTTTCCCTGTGTGTCAGCAGCTCATACTAAAATTAATATTTACCAGGCAGTGTCCCATGACTGGATCACATACCTGGAACAGCAGCTTTTCACGAATGTGCAAGAGTGGAGGAAAGTTATTTCTTTTAGATAGTAAAGAATACTCTGCTGCTCCATTAAGGATACTCCACGTTTGCACTTGGCCTTCTCTTGGTGATAAATGCAGACAGCAAGTATTAAAAGGTCCTTACTCCCTTGCGAGGTGAATCCCACAGCATCCACAGAGCCCTGGCACCTCSTCATCATTAGATCTCTGCAGGAGCTGGAAGAGGCAAATCACTGCAGATTTCATGATAGAAAAAGGTGGGGATTGATCCCATTATCCTGCTGGTTCTGGTGTGCATTCCGTCAGAGCCTGGCAGGGTGGGGATTGGTACAACAGCAAGGCCAACAACAGGGATAAATTTAAAAGTGACAGGGACTCTTTTATGCATTTAAACAGGTATTTAACTTTCAAGTTCAGTTTATCCAGTGGCTTGAGCAAGAACCGTGCTTTTCCCTTGGCTGATTCCCAAGCCATGCAAATGTAGTGGGTGTATTTGATAAACAATGTAAATATAATTCTCTATCAAATACGTACAAAGCTTACGCTCAAAAAACATTCTTCAGTCTAAATTTAGATTCACACTCGAGCTGCAGGTAACACTTGAACAAACCCAGCAGAGCAGTGAATGTGCACAGGCAGGAGCCATCCACCTCACTGCCTCGGCAGAGCCCTCTGATAAAATTCCTCTGTGAGGCTCCAGTGCTGTGGGCAGCCAGAAGGGATTGTGCCCAAAAGAAAACCACTGCGTGGGCAAACCTTTCCTGGCTATTCTGAGGGCAATATGCTTTTAGATGAAGTTAGCTTTATTTTAAAGATGTGATTGGTACTGGTTGTGTTCCCAGGTCAAAGTGTAAGTAACTCATCAGAAAGATGCAAAGTACAATTTATTTGAGGTGTATTGGGGGAAGGCTTGAAGTGAATCACGGTAAATATGGGTGGCAGTAAAACAGTGATTAGCTGTGAGTTTTGCAGGCTCAGACTTGAATTTTCAGAGAGTTTCTCCTTGAACTGGAAAGGGATTATTATGGATCCATGTGCATCCTTGCCCACCTCTGTATGCATTGCATCCTTTACCTTTGAGCTGCATTTCACTGTGCTGGTACAGAGAGAAGACATTAACAGATTTGTTTGTCTAGTTTGCAGGACTATGGAAATCAGGAGTCTATCCTTTCTACAGTATGTCTTAAATCACATGCAAGAGTTCCCCTGGACAGTAGAAATATTTGGCTTGTGTTTCCTGCCATCATCACCTGCTGACACGTGGAAGCTACATCTGTGCAGCTGAAGCAGGAGGAAAGTGTTGCAAAGAAAATCCTGACATCTGTGAAAAGAATTACCTGTAGAGAGGATGGTGAAGCACTGGGATAGGGAATCTTCATCCCAGCAGACTGAGCCTGCAGAATAGCAGGCTCTGGGCAACATGATCTAACAAGATTTAACCCTGCTTTGAGCAGGGGGTCAGACCAGATAATCTAAATAAGGAAGACCAAACCCTTGCTCCTGAGGCTGGTGGTAGAACCTAGTTTGCATCCCCATTGCTAAGATGTAACCATGCTTTGCCGCATCATGCTTAGACCTTGGGGCTTCTCCATGACCATACTCCTCAGTCCCCAGGATTTTTTGCTTGTGTTGAGTTTGGGTTTTTTTGGTTTTTTTTTCCAATATCCAGCTTGAAATAATCTAAAAGAAGCCCCTCAGAGCAGGGTTAACAGGACAACACTGTTCTGTGCCTGAGGGTGGGAGAGCATTGAGGGACTGAGCAGAGGGGATGGAGCCCGTCCATGTCTGACTCAGCCATTCTGGGTTTGGAGCAGCCCCTGCAGCAAGCAACTTCTAGACCTCTGCTTGTGCTCTTCTGGGCAAGGTTCAAGTAAACCAGTCTAAGGCAGGGGCCAAAAACATGCTGGCACTTCAGAACAGGCTCAGTTGGGACTGGAGCCTGCTCCTGGGGCATCCTTTCCCAATGCCATGGATGTTCCCTATGTTGTCTCATGTTTGCCAAGCACCTGCATTAGGAGTTAGTTGTCTGGAATGTGCTTCCATGGAGATTTCAAAGCTGGGCTTGTGTTTGGCTGCTTGTGATCCAAGGAAATGGAGGAGTAACTTGTGATTGTGTCCTAAGCGGGTGGTTTGGGATTTGCACTGAGAATAAAGAGTTTCCTGAGTTGGAAAAGCCCCATGAGGATCATAGAGTGCAACTCTACTGGCAGTAGAAATTGCAAGAGCTGGTTGTCCTTGTGCAGGACATGCCTGTCCTTAGACGTGAGCAATGAAGCACAGATGAACATGTTGATAAACCAGGATTGTTTCTTTTTGGTGTGTGTGGGTGCTGGTCAGAGAGGATTTCCTCATTTTCATTGCCTGCTGGGACAGGAATGGATGGATAGTCAGTGCTGCTTGTTTTAGATGGATCATCTGGGAGTCACCTGACTGCCATAAGCAACACATGTGCCCACATCAAGCTATGCAAAAGGATCAAATGTTGGGATTTTGGAGGAATTCTGGTTAAGCTCTTTCCCTCTATAGTAATGAGGAGGTGGGTTTCTGCCTGGGGATGGACACACCGTAAAAATCAGTCCTTGCAGCTCCTTGCCATACCTCCTGGTCCCAGCAGAGGCACGCGCATTTGGACGTGTATTAAGTTGCCAGCTCATCCTTAAATAGCAGCTTCCATTGAACTGTAAATGCAACGCAGAACATGCTGGAGCCAGGAATTTGTGGAAGGAGGAATTCCACCCAACAGAACTGCTGAGACTTGAAAATCAAGCTAGGTTTTCTTCTGGCAACTTCAAAGCAGGGCGCTCTCTGTGAATGCAGGCTCAGGAATGATTACAGCAGCTAATCAAGGGCTGTCATTCTCTTCAGCAGCTCACGGGGCTGTAGAATAAACAGGGAAAGTTTACTGTGTTAGACGCAGGAAAACAAGGAGATACTGCTGAATAAAGAAGTTACTGAGTTCTCCAGAACTATGCTTTTGCAGTGGTTACCTATGTAACTGAGCTGCCTTAGTCTGGCTCCTGGAGCTGCTGCTTTCCCTTCTCATCCCTCCCCCTAGTGAGGCCTCCTTGTGTTCACTCAAAGGCCTCAATGTTACAACATTTAATCATTGAMGTTTTGAGGATCAGTATAATCTAAGTAAATACACAGCTTGCTTTGCTTAGAGGGATTTGATGCTGTACCTAAAACTAATATAGATCCATCATTTTAGTGTCCCCACTATTCTGAGGGAACTGTGTGGGAGAGAGGAAGATCAATGGTGAAAAGTGAAATTTGAGCAAATTCAGAAGTTGTCCATCTGGGAGCTCTTGAGTTAATTTTTTAAAGTTCTGAAATTAGTTTCTTTTAGTTCACAAATTGAAGGTATTCTAAGCTTTAAGGTGTGCTTGCTCACAGCCTGGGAAGTTCAAGCCAGAAATTGCCTGCTGCCAGTAAACTGCCACAAGGATTGTATGCTTAATTTGACACCAACATCTTTTTTTCCTCTCTTCCTTTTCCCTTCAATCCTTCCCCCCCATCCTGGACATCCCCTCCCCTTCTCCCTCAGGCCTGTATTGATGAGAACCTAGACATGGTGAAGTTCCTGGTAGAAAATGGAGCCAATGTGAACCAGCAAGACAACGAGGGCTGGACCCCTCTTCATGCAGTGGCATCGTGTGGCTACCTGAACATAGCAGAGTGAGTGAGTTTGGGGCTATTCCATGTATTTATAACACTTGCCTGTGCCTTTCTCTTCAGAGCAAGTACATGGGTGATGGATAGCCTGAGCCTCATACAATGCTTTGGGAAGCAGTGCTGAAAATGGATGCTTTTCTCTTGGTACTGAATTCTGAACCTCTGAGGATGAAGGTGGAGCCTTCAGCTGGTTGCCTTTTGCTGCTGCCATTACCCTCTCTTACAATTCCTCAGATACTTAAGCTAAAATGCCAAGCACAAAGGAAATGGGCCAGCTGCTACAGGGATGTGTAGTGAAGGAATTCCTGTCAGGGTGGGGAGGCCCTGGTACAAGTTGCCCAGAGAAGCTGTGGGTGCCCCTGGATCCCTGGCAGTGTCCAAGGCCAGGTTGGACAGGGCTTGGAGCAACCTGGGATAGAGGAAGGTGTCCCTGCCCACAGCAGGGGGTGGGACTGGATGGGCTTTACAGTCCCTTCCAACCCAAACCAGTCTGGGATTCCATGGCTACATTTCCTTACTGCAGACAGAGTGGTGTGAGCAGTTCTGGGGTTAAGTGGGGGCTGTCAAGTTCAGTTGTCAATCCAGCATCACCACCATGTTCACCACTAAACCTCAAGTGCCACATCCACTCATTTTTTTTAATACTTCCAGGGATGGTGACTCCACCACTGCCTTGGGCAGCTGTGCCAGGGCCTGACCACCATTTCCAGGAAGAAATTTCACCCAATATCCAGCCTAAACCTCCACTGGCACAACTTGAGGCCGTTTCCTCTTGTCCCGTCCCTGTTCCCTGGGAGCAGAGCCCGACCCCCTGGGCTGCCCCCTCCTGTCAGGGAGTTGTGCAGAGCCACAAGGTTCCGCCAAATCCCCTTTTCTTCAGGCTAAACACCAACCCATTATTCTTGACCAGTCATACCGTGCTTATATATTTCATCCACCATATTTACCAGAAAGTTTCCAAAATTTGAATTAAGATAAGTATTTCTTAAATGCTTAAATAATTTTATAAATTATAAAACCAAGCAACCTCACCGTCCTAGATTTGTGTGCTTGAACAGATACTTCTTTTACTTCTCAGAATTTTACTGATTAAAAGATATACAAGCCAAAGAAGACATCTGTTGTTCTTGATTGAACTTTTGCTAAAGTTATAAACGAACAAATTTTAAAATTGATGATGCTTGATGAGGCTTTTTTTTTAAATTAGTGTTTGTAAAAAAAAGGGGGTAATTAACCAGATCAATGCAAGAATTGGGGTATTTAAATTACTACAGAGAAAGAAAAACTGTGAGCCCCTGAGCAAGGACTTTGCATTTACAATGAATGTTTTTAATACAGAAATTGGCGAAGAATAAGGTCCTCATTTGGTAATTGAACCTGCATGAGAAAGGCCAGTTCTCTGTTGTGCAGTTGGGTCGCTGTGTCATTGCTCTGAAGGCAGGCACACGAGGTGTGATGAGCTGCTCCGGTGTCCCTGCTGCAGGTACCTGATCAGCCATGGTGCCAACGTGGCTGCTGTCAACAGCGAGGGGGAGGTCCCGTCCGACATCGCTGAGGAGGCGGCCATGAAGGACCTGCTTCTGGAGCAAGTCAAGAAACAAGGTAAGCGGAGGGCTTGGATATTTGAGAGTTGGACCCCTGGGAGTTTCTGGCCGAGAGTTCTGCTGCCTTGCTGTCTGTGGGTGAAGAGATCTGAGATCTGGCCCAGGAAGCAGCAGACAAATTTTGCTTTGCTGTCTGGACATATGCAGGAGGTTTGTGGTGTCTGTTCTTGGGATTCTTCAAATCAAGACACCATAATCCTGAAATCTGATTCATCAGATCTAGTTCCTTTTAAAGTGAGATTTAATTCTGACCTCTGATGTCAATGAAAGGTCTTGTTTCATTAAGACTTAATCTAATAGAAGTGAGATTTACAGGACTACCAGAAGCAGGGACCAAGAAATAAATATTGCAGGCCTGGAGTGACATGCTTTATCCTGATCGTTCCCTGGATTTCTTCTGCCATATCCCCATTCTCATCAGCTGTGTCTGGCTGAGAGGCTGCTCTCCAGGCTCTCTCTCACAAACTTCACTGACTGAAGAATAGTTTTAGATGGATGTTAAAATTAAGAAATGCTTTATCAGTCGAAAATTTTTTTCATATTCACGGAATTTATTTGGGAGTGATTGAGTGCCTGCATGTGTGTGTGAGAAGTTTAAATTTTGCCTATGAATTTCATCAAGAATGTTGGAAAAGGAACCCAAGGAATTCCTGGAACTTCCATCCTTGGATGTAGTCAAAGCTCAGCTGCATTCGTGTCTGAACTGGTTGATCTGGCTTTGAAGTTACCCTCCTTGGAGCAGGGGTTTGGACTACATACCCCCAAATCTTTCCAGTCTGGATTATTCTATTCCTGCACGTTTGTGTGGGACTGCTTGCCTGCTGGATTGACTCATGTCCTCTCTATCAGATACATGGCGGTTACTTTATTTTTTAAGTTTTTTTCAGGTGTAGTTACGTACGGATCAGTCCCTTGCTGCTTTGTCCCCTGTGTTAATGTTCCAGGGCCACCAAATTTGTCAGGCACAACTTTCTCTCAGAGAAGCCAGGTTGGCTGTCACCTGTCACCTCCTTGTTTTCCACATGCCTTAGCATAGCTTCCAGGAGGATCTGCTCCGTGACCCTGTTGAGCACACAGGAGAGGGCAACTGGCCAGTAGTGCCCCAGGTCTTCCTCTTTTCCCTATTTAAAAATGGGGGTTATGTTTCCCATTCTTCAGGCCATGGGAACTTCACCAGGATGCCACAACTTCTCAAACAGGAGAGTGGCTTGGGCACTTCCACCAGCTCTCTTGGGACCCATGGATGTATCTCACCAGGTTCTGTGGACTTGTGCACCTTTAGGCTCCTTAAATGCTCTCAAACATGGCAATAATGTGGTTGAAACCTTACAGGACATCAAGGCAGTGATTCTGCCTCCCCTGCCAGTATTTTGCCGACACTTTTTGGGATTCTGCTTGCGTTGCTTTACCACATTAGTGGTATCCTGCTAAGATGCCCTGAAACAGCCATCTGTCTCCACCGACAGGATTCCCATCACACAGTTTAAAGGATCATAACTGCTGGAGGAAATGGAGTTGAACTTTAAATAAGCATCTGTCCAGTTCCACAGCCTGTTCTCGGCAGGGGCTGTGAGCAGATGCCTGCTGCAGACTGGAACAACAGCTCAAGTGTGTATTGAGCCACTGTGCCTCCAGGAATTTCGGAGCCAAATGGGCTTTCTGTCTACTTGTGAATGCCCCGTGGCTTTGTGTTTCCGGAGCCTGTGCAATCCTCCTTGGGAACTCCAGCATGTTCAGTGTTGTGTGTAATAGCTACAAACTTGTCTAGTCCTTGGTCTAAAGCCAGTTTATTTCTGATGTTTGCAACTTCGTGCAGCAATGGATCTCACAGGTCAGTCTAAATTGTTTTCCCTGGTTCTGTTTTAAACCTAATGCCCCATAATTTAATTGGCAATCATGTCATTCTTACACTGAAAGTTTTAATCCACAGGAGCACTTGCTCTTTAGCACCCTTCCTGATTTCTGAGATTTGTCACCTTCTTGTTTTTATTTTTTCCTGAGTCAGAGAGTTCTGCCCTGATTAATCTTGTTTGGATCAACAAGATCTCATTACTGTGAAAACTCTTCTTAGGAAAACAAGTCAAAGTTGCTTTTGCCTCTCGTTGGTTTAATGACAGTTGACACAGTCTGTCAGCCAGACACACCTGCCTCTCCACATCACCCCCTGCCTCTCCACATCACCCCCTGCCTCTCCACATCACCCCCTGCCTCTCCACATCACCCCCTGCCTCTCCACATCACCCCCTACCTCTCCACATCACCCTCTGCCTCTCCACATCACCCCCTGCCTCTCCACATCTCCACCCACCTCTCCACATCTCCACCCACCTCTCCTCCTGCCCCTAAACAGTCACTTAGGCCATCAGAGAAGTTTCTTCTGGCTTTCTCATGCCAAAATGATTTCAACTTTGTGTTTTGTCAGAACCCTGGGGGTTTGCTGCTCACTGGAGTAACTCAGTACTTCTCCCATCATGCCTGTCAGGAATGCCTCGGGAGCAGTGCAGATCCCTGTGTGTGTTGCATGCAGAGTGTCCAGAATTTGGAATGAGCAGGTCACCCTGCTCTTGCAGGAGACATCTGAAGATCAAGTTCTCACACCTTCCCTGTAGATTATCCCTCACTACAGGCCAATTCAGTCAGTTAACTGTTGTTCATGACTTTTGTTTCAGTCTGGGACACAGCCTGTGTAGGATTCAATCTTTATACCCTTAATGCACAGCTGAGCTTGTGGTTAACTGGGCTAGGTTGCAACCACTGGCCCAATTTTCAGATTTTTTAACACAGACAGTTTTTGAAGTCTCTGTCAATGACACAGGAGCTCTCCCAAGCTCATAGAAGAGACTTTTACTGATGGGTTTGTGGAAGATCCAAAATGGTTTTCTAATATTTTATAGGAAGTGAAACATAGGGTAAGTTTAAGAAGTACTTAAGAACTTTCATCTCTTGTTTGTCTCTTCTTCTGTGCTTCACCCTCTTAGGAGTAGACCTAGACCTGTCAAGGAAAGAAGAGGAGCAGCAAATGCTCCAGGATGCCCGGCAGTGGCTGAACAGTGGGAAAATTGAGGATATAAAGCAGCCTCGGACAGGAGCCACAGCTCTTCATGTTGCTGCAGCCAAGGGCTATGCTGAAGTCATGAGGTAGGAGCTGCTCCCACTGCTGATGTGTGGAATTAAGGCTGAAGAAGACATCTTGCTTTATGTTGAGAGAAACTTGTTCCCTGCTGAGATTTTCAGGCTGCTGTCTCTCAAAAGGTTCTGTGGTTTTATGGGTCCAGCCACAGTGGTTCATCCAGAAATACGCAGGGACTGGAGGATTCCCTTTCTCACCTGCAGGCCTTTTTGAAGTAATGAAAGCTTTTCATGGAGTGAGGCATAAATTAGGAAGTCTCTAATTTTTCTCATTACAAGGCCTAATTTTCACTGTTAGAATAATAGTTTTAGGACTAGCAAGCTAAATAGGATATTATTATTATTATTATTATTATTATTATATTATTATTAGGGGATAAAAGTATAATTTTGGCATACAAAGTGACAACACACACTGCACGACAGTCACAAACACCCCAAAAGGTTGCATGACCAGTCTGGTGGGAAAATGCAGTGTCCACTTTTGCCTCACTGTTCTGTGCCCCTTCATGCTGCTGCTCCTGGAGTGACAGAGAGATTCCAGCACCTGACAGCCCTGTTGCCCTGTGCTCTGGCACAACAAGAATATTATGAGCATAAACTTGCTCAGTGTAGGGTTTTCTGGTAAAGAACATTAATATTTTTACAGGTGATGTTGAATTCAGGCTTCCAACAATAAAGCTTTCTTCTCCGCTCTTTATGTGTGGGTGGAGCTGCCCATTAACATAGAGATCTTTGAATCCCAGAGTGGTTTGGGTTGAAAGGAACCTTAAAGCTCATCTTCTCCCATGTCTTGCCATAGGCAGGGACACCTTGCACTATCCCAGGTTGCTCCAAGTCCTGTCCAAGCGGGTCTTGGACACTTCCAGGGATGGGGCAGCCACAGCTTCTCTGGGCAGCCTATGCCAGGGCCTCTCTACCATCACAGTCACACCATCACAATTTTTACCTCATATCTGATCCAACCCTGCCCTCTGTCCGTGTGAATCCATTCCCCCTTGTCTTGTTACTTCATGCTCTTGTAAACAGTCATTACAAGGTCTGTTGCCCACATTCAAATCCATTCTGGAAGTGTTCATCTATCTTGGTCCTGATTTTCATAATTTTAAATGACATGACTTGATGTGTAAGAGCTGTTTGATATCAAGCTCAAGCAGTTCTATTGTACTCCATGTTTCTGATTTGTATTCAGTCTTTAGAGCTTATAATTGAGTGATGAGCTGTCTGTGCCTGTACTGTGCCCAAGAAACAGGAATCTAACAGGGCTCATGTGAATAGAAATGTAATACCTCTGAATCTGAGGTGTTGGTCCCGTGCCTGTCAGGGGAAGGTTGTGTATCCAGTGCTCCTTGATGAGGTTCAGTGTGTGCAGGCTGGCTTAGTTCTGGACAGTGTCTCCTTGGCATTAATTGTGGTAATGATAAACACCATGTCACAGCAGGCTGACATTGTTTCACTCTTGTGTAGGTGATGGCCATGCTGAAGTTCAAATGCTGAGTTTTAGCAACTTAAACCAAAGGGGCTGACAGCCAGAAGCCAGCTAACTCTAAACGAGATGAGGAATTTGTCTGTGACCTTGAGTCTCTTAGCAGCTCTGTTCCTCCCTTCTGCCAGCTGGAAAATCAACAGAAACTCAGCACCTAATTTCCAATTCCTTTCACAGAGAAGCCCACAGCTGCTCTGCTGTGCCTGTGTTTTATTTAGCACAGTAACACATTGGTGTAAAGCTGCAGGAGTTTCCAAGCTGTTGGGGTCATGTTAGACTTCCCTCATGCTGTGCAAAGGTGGCTCAGGATGCTGGAATTTCCCACAATGGAAATTGTCAGGAGCAGTTTTACCAGACTCGCAGGGTTCCCCTGGGATGTTTTTCAGTATTTAAGCAACTTGGAGAATAGTTTTGATACAGGATCTGCTCAGTGCTCTCACCTGATCACTGCCACACCAGTGTTCACGTGGCTCTGGAGCTCCAGACTGCCCCTGACCCTCTTGTGTTTGTTTTGGTGTTAAACATTGAAGCTCCAGGTGCCATGAAACACCAGTGTTCTGCTCTGATGGAGAGGGGAAGGTGGAATGGGCACAGCAGAGAGGGTAAGGAAAGCAGTTCCCAGGCAGGTTTACTTGTGGAAGATTTGCTTGAGCTGTTCTTTTTCTTGAACCGTTTGCTTCAACTGTTCATGAAAAAAATGCATTTGGGGTTGTTTAATCCAAATGAGGGTTGTTTAGCATACAAATGTCATCTCTGTCAATCGCAGTGGTGTCACTGGTGCTTCCCTGGCAGTCTTGCTGGTCGTCTTGTRGACCACCTTCCACTGTGGTGGCCTTGTGCCCTCGGAGAGCCAAGTTTGACTCCAGTTCCCAAATGCCCCTCTCATGGCAGGTGCTTGGCTCCCTGGCACAGGRATGGTAGTTGCAGGGATGTTGTTTGTGTGCTCAGTGCCTGAGCAAGTCCAGGCTCTCTCCTCTGCTGGAGCAGAAGTTCAGACTGGGTCACCAATGCCAGATGAGAAATCAAGGTGTTCTCCCAATTCAGGAGCTGCTGAAAGGGAGCCTTATCAGTTTGACGTGTTGCAGCACATTTTACATGAAAGTCACTTTTCGTTCACTGCCCGTTCCATGGCAGTTTGGAGCACATCAAGTGGGCTGTTGCTTGGCTTAGTAAGTCCAGGAGCTCCTGGCTGATGGGGAGCCAGGCTGCCCACTTGTGCCTAATGGGGAAGCTCTGCTCTGTCAGGAAGTCATTCCTGGTGAGCAGACATCAATCCTGCTGCTTTCCTCAGGCTCCTGATCCAGGCTGGGTTTAATTTGAACGTCCAGGACAATGATGGCTGGACTCCACTCCATGCTGCTGCTCACTGGGGAGTGAAGGAAGCATGTTCCATCCTGGCTGAGGCTCTGTGTGACATGGACGTCAGGAACAAGCTGGTCAGTACAACCAATGCAGGGTATTCTACAGCCGGATTGCTATTGACTACTGCCTGCTGCATGATCATGGAGTCATAGAACCCCAGGCTGGTTTGGGTTCAGAGGAACCTTAAAGCTTATCTCATTCCACCTCCTGCCRTGGGCAGGGACACCTTCCACTAGAACTGTCCAGCTGGCCTTGGACACTTCCAGGGATCCAGGGGCAGCCACAGCTGCTCTGGACAAACTGTGCCAAGTCCTCCCCACCCTCACAGGGAACAATTCCTTCCCAGTATCCCATCTAACRCTGCCCTGTGGCAGTGRGAAGCCATTCCCCCTTGTCCTGTCCATCCGTCCCTTGTCCCCAGTCYCTCWCCAGCTCTCTTGGCGTCACTTCAGGCACTGGAAGGGGCTCTAAGGTGTCCCTGGAACCTTCTCTTCTCCAGGTGAACATTCCCATCTCTCCCAGCCTGGCTCCAGAGCAGAGGGGCTCCAGCCCTCTGGTCAGTTTAGTGATCTCCTCTGGATTCTTTCCAGCAGGTGCAGGTCTGTCCTGAGTTGGGAGCTCCAGAGCTCCAGGTGAGATCTCATAGGAGGTCTAATATTGTGATCCAACATCATGACAAAGTCACARCAGTTCTTCCTAGCCTGTGCACTGRAGCATTTAAAAACATCAGAAAATGAAGACTCTTGGCTGGTGGAAGGCAGGAAAGATTTCAGATATTATGGGAAATGTGTCCTGATTAAACTTTAGTACTGAGATTGTAAGAAGGAACAGAGGCTGATCTGTGCCTTTAGTTATGGTGAAAATGTAACCARTCCTTGATTGTGCCCTAGAGTATTTTTTGTGGTTTGTTTTAGTTTATAAATGCCCATGGATGTGGAAATGGATCCCAAACTTTTTGKCTTGCTGGCAGCTTTTCAGAGCGTTTAAATACATGATGATAAAGCAACACAGAATCAGGAATATCCTGAGCAGGAATGGACCCACAAGGATYATCCAGTCCAACCCCTGGCCCTGCACAGACCCCCCCAACAATCCCACCCTGGRCCTGGCAGTGCTGTCCAAATGCTCCTGAAGCTCTGGCAGCCTCGGGGCCGTGCCCATTCCCTGGGGAGCCTGGGCAGTGCCCAGCACCCTCTGGGGGAAGAATCTTTCCCTGAGATCCAACACAAGAAGAGGTTGATCACATTCCCTCTCAGTGCAAGAGTGTTCTTTGTAGAAACCTGGAAACTCAAACATAGCCTGACTGTTAGATTTGAGCGGCAGCAACCAGGGAGCTGCGCTGTCCTGCTAGAAGTTGCTCACTGAACATGAACACGATCTTTGAGGTCATTTCCAGCCAAAATGATTCTGTGATTCCATGATCACTGCCACATGGGTTTCCCTGCTCTGCAGTGAAACAGWGTGTCACTCATCGTTGGGGAGGGAGGATGTGGAGCATATTCCCTGGTAAAAAGGACTTTTTGGAATATTGCCACTGTGCCATCTCAGACATCCTTTTGTGTTCTCTCATCGCACCAGGGCCAGACGCCCTTCGATGTGGCTGATGAGGGACTCGTGGAGCATTTAGAAATGCTGCAGAAGAAACAGACTGTGGTGAGTTTCTGGAGGTCATTTTCCACCTCTCCAATTACCTTTCACACACGGGTGTTCTCCAAGACATATGGTACYGACAGATGCAGGAGGCTGAGGCCCGGCTATTTTGTGAAATGCTTCTCATTTGCAATCTTTAATCACAGCAATAATTTTAATAGCTAGAAATCTAGATAACTGGATGACTGCAGCAAGGAGTTCAGTAGTGTGCTGGCATGCAGAATTATAGGAACTGGGCAGGAATGTATGTTCATCTTTGGAATTGTTGTTATCCTGCAGTTGCTTTGTTGGCTGGGAGGCTCTCTAGCATCAAACTGCTCTGTTCCTAATGAGTGATTACCCAAGGCAGCTTTGTGTTTGCATCCAAGGAAATGCACGGTCAGCGTTGGGAAAGAGATCTGTTACCATGTCTGCCTTTCTTACAATAGGGAGGTTTTGGATTTAGGAAGAAGAAATTATAAACTTCAGGGAAYTCTGGGCTGAAAAAATGGGTGGTTTCAAAACCTTGTTAAGTTGCCATTTCATAATGCAGTGGAGGTACTGGAAAGAATTATAAGCCAAAAGTTGGCATAGAAAAAGGAAAGCAAAAATATGTCTTGTTCAAAATAAAGGCAATTGTCAAGCCAGAAARTTGGTTTTGGATTGAATTTTTTCCTATTTCATGTGGTCTATGGTCTCAGTTATCTTATTTGGGTACTTTCAAAAAACAAGCTAACCTTCTTTCAAAAAGAATGAAAAATCTGTAAGTATACTTAAAACATTAGGTTCAGAAATAGACAGAATGGGAACACTGCTGATAAACCCCAGGAAAGGATTTTCAGGAACTGACAATGTGGGTGGCTAGAACTCCAGCTCTGATCACAACACAGCTGCTGCCATCCTCAAATAGCAGCCTTAGCATTCACAGGAACTTCTTAAAAATTAATCAGCTTCTCCCTCAATGAGGTGTTGATAAATACTATCAGGGTTGTATTTTGGATTCCCTTTGCTCTCACAACATAGGATTTTGCAGATAACTGCACTTTTTAAAGGAAAAAAAAAGAAAAAATTTTGKGTGACTGCTTGCCTGTTTTTAGGGCTGCTTTGCCGGGGCTACAACCCCCTATTCTCTGTATAGGACCCCTATATAAAGGCTCCATTTATTCAGACAGTGCTGGGCAGAAGAATCCAGATTTTATCATATTATTTTTATAGATAKGATTTTTTATTTGGAAATGCCAGTTTAGCATGTGCCATTTTTATAACTTAAAAATAGAAAACTTATATTTGTTAAAGTTTAAAYATGCAGTTCCATGACATTATTTGACTTTCAAAATGGCTCTCAAATCAGATACATTTTTCAATCTAAAGCTTGAGGCAGAACACTKTGCACCCTTGCTGAAAGATTTGCTACCATTATTGGAAAGCAGGGTTTTTTTATTTGCTGGAAGCAATTAATTTGGTTTGGGTTTGGATATTTTTCCCAGTCCTTAAATTACTTGTGAATAGAGCAGGCTGTTTCCTGCACTTCCCTTTGCTGTCCTGCATTTCCCTTTGCTGTGTCCAGCAGTTTGGTCACTTTAACAGTATGCTTCACCCCAAATTTTGGCTTTTCACTGGAATCCATTTAGCTTTTCCCACTTCCACAGCTGTGGCTGCCCTGTTCCTGGAAGTCTCCAAGGCCAAGTYGGACTGGGCTTGGAGCACCCTGGGACAGTGGAGTTCTAACCATGGCAGGGATGGGACTGGATGGGCTTTAAGCTCCCTTCCAACCCAAATAATTCTGGGGTCCCATGATTCAGAATTTACAGTGCTTTTACTTCCTTTGCCTGGTGTCAATTGCTGTCAAAAGAGAAAGAATAACCTGCTGAGCCATGACACAACAGAGTCAGCCTTAAACTGAGCCCTTACTGGCCATCCCTACTTCTGCCTCAGCTGTTCTGTGCTTCTGGAACATATTAAAACAACTTTTGGGTATTGTTTGGTCCATCAATAGGGGTAAAATTAATATTGCTGCCATCTGGACTAAAATCTTTCCGTTTCTGTGTGATCCCAAGTATTCCTGTGCAATGACTTTGTGCATTTGAGAGATTTAAAAAGTGGCCCATCCTCACAGGAGTTCCCTGGTTGTGTGTATGGGACAGTCTTGAATGCTTTCCTCTGAGATCAAGTAAATAATAGCTACAAAGGCAGCATATTTTTAGGTGAATCCAGCCTGACTTCATAGACACACACACAYGTGTGGAGAGACCTCCAGCAGAATCCCGGAGTGGTTTGGGCTGGAAGGAACCTTAAAGCTCATCCTGTTCCACCCCCTGCCATGGGCAGGGATACCTTCCACCAGACCAGATTGCTCCAAGGCCCATCCAGCCTGGCCTTGGACACTTCCAGGATGAGGGAGCCCACGACCTCTTGGAGCAGCATTCAGGGTTTGTCCCGAGACTCAGCAGGAGCTGCTGAGGGTTTTATGAAAGCGGCATTCCACGGATGTGCTGGGTGCTGTGTCCTGTCAGAGCTGCAGTCCAGGGCTCACAGTGCTATTGCAGATGTTGTTCTGCTTTTCAAGTGGCTTTTTACACAAATGCACAGTGGTTTGGTGTAACGAGGCTGGGCTGACCTTGTGCTGTGGTGCTCACTGGATTGTGCTGTCRGGGCTGTTTAATGTCTCTTCTCATTCTCTCTCCCATCTTCCTGGACCTTTTGACAGCTRCGAAGTGAGAAGGAGACGAGAAATAAGCTGATTGAAGCTGACATGAATGGGAAGCCTCAAAACAGACTCTTCACCAAGTAAGTCTCTCCCTCTTAGTTGAAAAGAAACTGCCCAGAGAATAATGGTAGAGCAGCTTCATCTGTCACAGCCAGCTGGCCTCAGCTGGGTCAAAAACAATTCATTGCTGTTTATTTCATTTTTTTTTTTTAATCTGAGCACTCTCAAATACAATTTTAGTTGTTTCATAACATAATCAGTGAGTGGTGGRACAAGGGGTAGGGCTGCTGTTTTCTGCTCCAGCTCTGGCTGAAGATCAGTCAGAGCTTTGGGCTGAGAACTGCACCTTTTTGTTGCACAGAACCCTGCAGCCCAGCTGCTGCGTTGTGTGGCACTAGAAAGGAGAGATCACATATTTGTGGATGGAAAAATGCTTGCAGAATTAGAAAATGTGAGACCGGCAGTGGAATCCGTGGCAAATGGGCCATGATGGAAGTGCTGGAGTGTTCAGACTGTAGATGGATTTTGTTCTTTGCTTGTTCTTTATGTAGTAAATCATGTCTGTCTGTTTCTGAGAAGCACAACTCAAATAACTTGCTTGCCTAGTAGTCCTTAAAATTTCCTATTTTGCAGCAAAGAGAAGATTCTCTATGAGGAAGACACATTGAAGTCTGTGGAAACTGAGGAAGAGAACAAGGACTCGAGTAGTTCTAGTTCTGAGGAGGAAGAAGCTGAAGACGAAGTTTCAGAATCAGATGCTGAAAAGGAGTCAGGTAAGACTTAGTACAATCTTGGGTTTTAAAACAAGCCTAGCTATTATTGCTATTATTATTATTATTATTATTATTATTATTACTATTATTATTATTATTACATCATTAGTTGTTAAGGACATCCTGAAAGTTTTATTTCCAATGTATATGTACAGAATTCGAAGCAATCTGTTGCTACTGTGCTAAAATAAAAAAGCTGATCTGAATGCTGACTCCCAGGTCAACATAATTATTAAAAATAAAAAAAAAAAATCCTTCAGATCCTATTTTAATTCTTACTTCCAGCTCACATGTATTGMAGATAACACATTGTCCATAGCTTGTTCTTAAACAGAGGTTTCTTTCTTGTTGGCCCAGTTCAAGAAGAATCCTTCAGAAACTGCAAGATGGTAGGAAAGCGAGTGAAGGTGTCAGAAAGCAATAATCTGTTGTGTTTGGATCAATCTGAAACAAAGGGCTGAAACTGTTCTGGGTGATTATAGCAGTGAGGAACTTCTGTTTTCCAGGCTGTGATAAATAATGATTGCAAAAGGTGGTGGAAATTAAGGATTAAGTACACAGAGTCACAGTAGCATTTACATASTAGTACATTGCTGGCATTGTACTCCCATTCTTTTTCCATAATTTCTGTGGCTTTCTTAATTAGTTTTAAAAGTGCTTATGTACAGCACAGGAAGTTTAAATACAGATACTTAATTTTACAGTAAGCCAAGACTTACTTGTACTTAATATTATGCAAACTCAGATGGATCTTGGTCTGTGAATTGTTTAATGGTTAAACTGCTTTTAACATCAACTTGGTCTATATCCAGTATACTAAGAAATAGATTTTGAGAAGTGTAGTTTAGAGTTTTGTTGTGCTTCTGTGCCAGTGGAATTGTCACCTGTGTTAGGATTGTATCAGTTGATGCTGCTCGGGCAGGGTGAGAGGTGTGGGAAATCCTGGCTGGGCTCCACAGAGCTGCACCAGCTGGGTGGGCAGGGCATTAAYGCAGGGAAATGATCTTGGGCATTCAAATCAAGCAAGTCCAGTGGAGATGTCACTGGCAGAGACACAGTGCAAGTCACATTATTTGCTCCATAAATCAGATTGTTTCCTGATTAAATATTTATTTTTATCAATATAAATTATACCGGTCTAGCTGGGTGCCAATCCTTGTAATTCTTGTAAACATGGTGGTAGTTTGACCAAAACAATGCAAATGTTTGCACAGCTGTAAGACTGGAGCTTTGTGGGGTTTAACTGAGTTAGGTACATCCTAAGATACTTCAGCAAGGAAAGTCTACAGCACTCGGCACTAAATTTTGTGTAAAGCCAGAACAGGTCTTTTTATTGCATTAATTCACTGAGCAAAGCACATTATGGGAGTCTGTGTCAGACCACTAAAGCTAATAGAAATGGAGACAACAAGCATTCAGGTCATGACTAAGCTTCAAGCTGTGCCCTGCTTTGCTGGAATGATTATTGGATCCTTGAAGAAATTTCCATCTGAATTGAAAGCCCACCTTGTAAACTTCTGAAATCTCTGATAAAATKAGTATGGACTTGGCCAGCTGGATGGAGACACAACTATCACTTGTTGCATATGTGAGTGGGGGTCACATCTTTGGAATTCTTCTTAAAATCAGTTTCTATAAGGTAACAGCATCAACCCATTTTATAGAGGATCTCCAAAGAGAAGTAAGATTTTTCATTTTGGTGATGAAAATGTCACAGTATTACTGATTTCAAAGACAGACAATGGTGTTCCTGGGCAGGTCCCCCAGCGTGGGCAGCAGGACAGGAAGGTTTCTGCCCCTCTGCCTTGCTCAGGTGAGACCCCRCCTGCAGAGCTGCCTCCAGCCCTAGAGTTCCAGCCACAGGAAGGACCTGGAGCTATTGAAGAGAATCCAGAGGAGACACCAGGATGGTCAGAGGGATGGAGCAGCTCTGCTCAGAGGGAAGGCTGGGAGAGTTGGRWTTGTTCAGTCTGGAGAACAGATGCTTTGGAGTGACCCCATTGTGGCCTTCCAGTACCTGAAGGGAGCCTGCAAGRAAGATGAAGAGAGACTGTTTATGAGGGCCTGGAGTGACAGGATGGGGGGAATGACTTCAGACTTGTAGAGAGTAGATTTAGATGGGATATTAGGAAAAAGTGGATCCCTGTGAGGGTTGTGAGGCTGCCAAGTGTCCAAGGCCAGCTTGGATAGGGCTTGGAACAACCTGGGATAGTGGAAGGTCCCCCTGCCCATGGCAWGGGTTGGAATGAAATGAGCTTTAAGGTCCCTTCCAGTCCTAACCAGTCTGGGATTCTGTGGTTCTGTGTTTATCTGCTCAACATTTTACATTCTTGGATGGCACAGGGGGCATAGGTATGAAAACATGCAAATTATTCCCTTATTCCTCTTCATTTTCTTTATTCTTCCCATACCTGGATCATTCTGAACCGTGCTGGACACAGATTATGACTGTCCTAAAGTGTTCAGAGTCCAGATGGAAAAAAAAAAAGTAATCTGAGTGATCTTTTTAAACCTAAAAATTCCAACCTCTATGGTAGCTGAGCATAAAGCAGGATATGTAGRAGCTGACAGTGTAACACACAAGTTTATTTTGAGGYGTGTTTTGGAGAGTCTCARGTTGCAATTAATTTGTTGAATTTGCAGAGACTGTGGGAAGAAGAAATWGAATGAGGGAAGCAGTAAAATTGCTGGAAGGCTTCAGAGTAGTATGTTTCTTACAATCTGTAAGAAATTTGTGTTTTTCAAACAAAGGAAGCCAAGGGCATTAATGTCATTTTGTTCATTTTGAGGACAATTAATTTGGCATTGACCTCTTGTAAACAAGAGAAAGATGTGTATAAAATTCTATTGTGATTATCTGTGCTGGGAACTATTACAATATGTAATGATGGGGAATTAAAGTAGGCCAGGGAAGCTTTTAGTTTTGTTTGAAAAYCAACCAAACAAAAACCCTTCTCCAAAAACCCTTATGAAAAAGGAGTTAGAAACCTAAATTTTTACTCTTATCAGATTTGTTTTGAGGCAATTGAATGAATCCTCACCRTTTTCTCTTGTCCGGAATTCATGTTTAATTAAATTTTGGTAAAACGAAATGTGTGAGCCTGCCCAAAGTCAGCACTGCCTGTGGCTGTGCCACTCTCGTGCTGCCAGCACAGTCCCTCAGCCTGTCCCTCCTCTGCCATCGACTGCCCAGTCACTGCTTACACTCAGTCCTTCCCAACTTGTCATTACAGCTTTAAGCCTGTGCCCTTCTAATTAGCCTTGACCTTAAAAGCTGAACCTGTGTGCTGTAAGCTTCCAGAAGAGGCTCCCAGTGCCCGTCCAGCCCTGGAGAGCTGCTGCAGCCTGCCCTTGCTGCAGTGCCATGTGTTTTACAGCCTCAGACACAGGAATCAGCTAATGGCAGCGTGTCCTTCCCTGTCCATGTGCATTTCTGTGGATTTGGATGCCAAGTGTGCCCGACCAGGCCTGCAGGGAGGAATTGGGGATCTGTTGTCCCTTCCCCGGGGTTATATGAAAATGCACCCAAGGGTTTGGGTCCAGAGCTGAAATCTGCTGCTTGAAAAGGAGGGGAGAGTGGCTGAGAATCCATTCTCATGCAGACCCAAGGGAAGGGCTGGAGCTGTGTCAGGRCAGGGTCAGGCTGGATCTCAGGGAAAGGTTCTTCTCCAGAGGGTGCTAGGCACTGCCCAGGCTCCCCAGGGAATGGGCAYGGTCCCAAGGCGGCCAGAGCTCTGGGAGTGTTTGGGCAGCACACTCAGGCCCAGGGTGGGATTGTTGGGGTGTCTGTGCAGGGTCAGGAGCTGAACTTAATGATYYCTGTGGGTCCCTTTCAGCTCAGGAGATTCCGTGATTCTGTGTTTGTCTCTTTAGTTCAGACTGGGTCAGTCCTGCTAACTTCCTGTTATTTTTAAATGTTTCTCTTGGCTTGCTTCTTTCTGTTTTCCGTGTCCTTTGAATCCTTTCTTTTCTAGGACTGAGAACATTTGTCACAGAAAGATTGATCTTCACGCTTCAAGGTGTCRTCCTCTCAAATACTCCATCCAAACTGCTCCAACTGTATAACAGCAGATATTTTATTCCCTKCACATACGTTATTTGCTAGGACGTTTTGGGTGCTTATGCTTAAAATTACTTTATTTTTTCCAAACCATGACTGTGTGAGCACTCCGATCTATAAGGAAAACTTTGGCTGGTTGGTGAAGGTGCATAATTTCTCAGGCGTGTTCCATGTGCCTGGGTTTATGGTGAATAGTCAGGCTCCAGCCTGTGCACTCCTGTTAAATGAACCTATTACCTGAGCCACTCTTTCTGCTTATTCTTCCCCTGGTAATGTCTGGTGGATGTTCTTCTGTCAAGCATGTGCATAGATACAAAAATAAATGCAGAACTGCACAGCTGCACTTGTCTTACAAGCAGCAAGCCAGCTGTGAGCTTGGACAAGGCTTGCTTAGCTTGCTTGGAGCCCAGGTAAGGGCTTTTGTTGGGCAGCAGTCCTGGCTTCCTGTTGAAAATTGGGCTTTACTGCAGAAGACCAGAGATTCTGCCCAGTAGCTCAAGCAACTGCGGAGAACTGTGCAGTGACAYCCAGCACTGGGCACTCAGGGTCTTGGGCTGTAACACACTCATGCTACAGCAGGAACATCACGTGCTCCTTTCATCCCAAGATTTACCAGGGAAGATATTCCCAGACAGGAAAGAAAATTGTGAAAACCRAAAAACCTATGTGTCTTCCTTATGGTGCTTTCTGCAAAGATTTTGCTTGTCTGTGAGGATGAAGTTCAAAAGCTTTGCCTGGCCAATGTATCCATCCTATTCTTTAGGAAGTGGGAAGTTCCTTGCAGAAAGCTCAGCTCAGCCTTGGTGCTGGCATCTCTGTGACCCGAGGAAACTGAGGGCACACTGCAGTGGAGTGCAGAGCACACTCTGTGTAAGGAGGGGCCTTGGAAGTGCAATACTGAAACATTTGGTTTCTCTTCTTGTTTAAAATTGTAGAGAGAAAGGAAGAGCCCTTTGCCAACCACTCCAGCCGTGAATCCAGGCCCAGCATCACTGAGCAAATGCCAGCACCTGAGCCCAACTCCTTCACTGCATCTGCSAGAAGAGTAAGTGAATTTGGAATCAGTGGGAACTCCTGCAGTGCTCAGAAGCAGAAGGTGTTACTGGGAGATGGATGCTCTGAAGCTAATTTTCAGAGGAGTTTAAAATTTGAATTTAGAAAAACCTGCTAGTATGAAATTCTGATAAAGATGTGTGTTAATAGCAGTGTAGGGTTGCCCCCAAGGAGAGTGTTGGTAGAATATGGTTCYTCTTGAATCTCTGACCCTCCAAAGCAAATTGTGGTGAAGAAACCCAGCCTACAGCACATGCCTTGTGTGCTGTCAGTTCTGTTCTGGTGTCATGTGTTCCCAGCAGATTTGTCACCAGAGCTSATTCCTGCTCACGTACCTGCGGCAAGTTCAGCACCATCATCACCACAGTGTCTCTAACTTGCCAAAGCCAGCTGAGTCAGTGGTGTGATGTTACAGCCCAGCAAGCTGAGGTAGTTTGCATGTGGCTGGCAGCTGGGCTGTAAAAGCTTTGAAAGGTGAAGTGATCACTGAAATCTTCTGTGAATCCCCCAGCTCTCAGATCACTCAGCTAGATGGCACCAGGGGACTCTGCTCTGCTCTGCTCAGGACTCGGGACTGGGCTGCTGCTTCCTTTTCGCACCAGAGTGGATAAAACAGCACAGGCAACAGGCCCAGAGCTGAAGCACTCAGTGCATGTCAGAGGAAGTGATTCTTGCTTAGTCACAATTTTTTGTTTTTCTCATGCAACGGAGTGTAATTTGTAAGATCAAATGAAACTGAGCTTCTCTGGGCATTGTTCAGCTCAGGCTGGCTCAGCAGGGAAACTGCTASAGGTAGAAGGATACTGGGAAGTGTGAGCACTTCAGTTAACCTTTTTCCAGCTGCAGGGATATGGTCTCCCTGCTTTGAGCTGTTTAACTCAGAATAAGGGTGTTGGGGTGTAGAAGCTGACCTGTGACCTGAGCAGGTTGATTGATTTGACCTTGGTCACTTAAGATCAGTTTCTTTACCTTCTCTCACCTGTTTGATTTTTCTGTAATTCTTTATGACAGACTRGGCTTTAGACTGTGTTGCCCTCTGTTAGGGGAGTTATAAGTATGTGCTGTTCCTGTGTTGTTCAGAATTTACAGATGGCAGCTTTTGCTGTGGTTTTGTGCTTTCTCTAAGGAAAGCATCAAAACGACATGAAAATGCTAGAGCTGTGTAGCTCAGCAGACTGAAGTGCTGGAAGTGGTGGAGTACAGATTAACTCTTTGCATCCGCATTGAAACGACATGAGCTGAAAACATTGCTCAAATACTGCAGGGATAATTTTAGCTTGGCAGTCTTCAGACAGCGAGTCTGTGGGCAGAGCTCCCCAGTAGCTCCATTTACTCTGAATAGTGTCAGATGGTTTGTGTCTTGTAGAATATGGTATAATAGTGCTTAGATCAGCTTTGATCACAAGCCTTGCATGCCCAGTGTCCTGCCCCTGACTGTGACCATCAGAATACACCAGAGAACACATAATCTTGCAGGAATTCCCTCCCACCTTCCAGCAACTGGTGTTTCAGGGACTTGCTGAACCTGGTGTATGTTTTGTCTTCAGTATCCCCTGTTGGACTCGGCCTCTATGAATTTATGCAGTCACTTTTTGATTGGCATCCTCTAATGACCAGTGACAAAGAGTCCTTCAGCTTATTAAAAACCCTACAAAGGTCCCTGTCCCATTACCCTACCACATGCTGCGTTTATTTGCTGCCCCTCCTTCCTTTATGGGAAGGACCAAGGAATAATTGGCCCCGTTCACTCTTGTGTGTGCCACTGAGGGTTTGGTCATATCTCAGCCTGGAGACTCCAGATATACTGAATGTCTCCTCATGCAAAAGCTCTCTTGCTCTACTTGTCCTTGTTGCCTTTCTCGGAATCTGTTCCCTTGTCAACTGCTGCTGAGCCCTGGAGCTGAGCTGTGTGTGATACCAAARGTGTGATTGTACTCTGCAGTAACACAGAGCCACAGTGATGGTGTGTTTTGTATTCTGTGCTTTTCCAATAATTCCTAATAATTTGTTTACTTTATTTCCTGTACAACTTGGTGCTCAGCCCTGTCCAGGTATCTCTTGTGATGCTCAGGCTCCATTCTTGAATGGCAGCGGGCAGTCTTTTGTAAGACTTGATAACTGTAGCTGAAGTCGTACATTGAGGCAGTCAWACATTGAAGCAGTTGTGTATTTAAGGACTGATGTGTGCAGGTCGGAAGTGCCTCTTGTAACGAAAAGCACCAAGGCCTGTTTTGTGGTATGCACAGCTGTCTGCCCATGGAAGGTGCCTCTGTGAGGCTAAAGTCCAACATCCTTCTCGAAGCAGGATTAAGCTCACATGGTGTTGCTTTGATTTACCTGAGCTCAGCTGAAATTACATGCAGATGCTCCAATCCCTTGCTGCCTGTCCCAGTGCAACTTTGCTCCTTCCAGGAGTTAGATCTCCATGTCAGCTGGGATTTCCCATGTGGACACTTTTCTTTTCTCCTCCTTCCACTGTAGACTGTGGAGAAGTCTGGTCCCATGTCCTCTGTAAAGTCACCCCCAAGTGGCAGAGCAACTAAACCTACCTTTGCCTTCTCTTTTCCATGCTAAACAATGCAGATTTCCTCAGTCTCTCCCTTTACAGTGTTGTTTGCTACAGCTCCCTGATGATCTCAATGGCTGCTCCTGGACTCCACTGATGTGAGGGGTTTATTTGCAGCTAGTTCCGTAGGACCTGAGCACTTGTTTTTGGTTTTCTGCCTTTACTGAATAATTCCCCCTTCCCAAATGGGTGATAATAAAAGCTTCATTGTTCCTTATATTCTTTCCTGAARGCTGGAGGAGGGCATTGTGTAGGCCCACTGTGAGCTGCACAGTGACACAAGATTCTTCTCATCCTCTGTGTCTGGGGATGAGGCACTACAGCAGTTTGCATCYCTGTGAGTTCACCTTGAGCTCTGTCCTGTAATTAAAGTGAAGCAGGAAATAAAAGTCACTCTRTCTTACAAATGTAGCCCAGCAAAAACTGGAGCTTTTCAAAACACTTGCTGAACTTASAGTGTGCCTTGAAGTACTCTTACTYTTTCCAAATGTCCCTGTTTCTCCTCTGCAGTTCAGCTGGCTCAGCAAGTCAGACGAGCAGAAGGATGAATCACCTTCGTCGTGGCGGCTGGGGCTGAGGAAAACTGGCAGCCACAACATGTTGAGTGAAGTCGCTGCCACTCGTGAGGCACAGAGGGATAAAACTGCTTCTATCTATCGCTCCTCGTCCAGCCCTCGGATATCTGCAYTGTTGGACAACAAGGAAAAGGTTTGGCTTTCAGCAAGGATGTTTTAGTGCATCCCATTGTACCCCACAAATGTGAAACCCTTTCTGTTTGAGTTATTGCTGGGGTTTGTATCCATWACAAATGTGGGTCTCATTCATTCTTTCTCTTTCTTTTGAAAAATATTTCACTCCTATCAGTTGTTTCTCCAGAACTGGAGTTTGGTCCCCCTTTGGCCTCAGTCCTGCTCAGTTTGGAACAGGCTGCCCTTGAACAGGGGCTGCTAGTCTGACATTAGCAGAAATTGTCCTGTCCAGACAGGAGCACAAAGCTGCAGCTGAGATTCCCCTTTCCTGTTGCTTCTGTGGATTCCTCTCCTATCCCCCAGCTGCACTGTGAATCCCACTACACGAATASATATACCTGGACCTTTTCTGCCCATGGGTAGATGCCTCATCCCTGGAGGTGTTCAAGGCCACGTTGGGTGGAGCTCTGGTCTAGTGGACTAGATCACCTCTAAAGGTGCCTTCCAACCCAAACTRTTCTCTGATTCTGTKATTTACAAATCATTTTYCAAGTTAGAACATGCTTTTTTTCACTACCATGCTCTTCAGGAAATCCSTTTCAGAACTGATACTTCTATGCTGTGGTATGTGTTGCCCAAGAAAATGCCTTAAACCAGCTGACAGGAGAATGCTTTCTTGGCTGAAGAAATTTGAACATGAATTTAGTTGCCTCTGACCGTGCTGGAAGAGTAAGAGATGTGCAGCTGAAGTTCCTCTTTTCCTTCACCAGGACAGAGACAACAAGAGCTATCTTGCCACTATAGTCCCCAGAAGACTGAGCAGTACGAGTGATATAGAAGAAAAAGAAAACAGGTGAGACTGGCTGAAGTTAATGCTCAGCTTCCCTCCTGTCARTAGGACCTCTGGAATATAATTTTTCTGTAGTCATGCTTGGTGTATTTTTCAGCAGTCTCAAGTACACAGGAATTTGCAGCCTCAGAAGCCAGCTCTATGAAAGTTCTGATGCGTTGGTTTTYATGTAGGTGAGCAGGGCAGCAGACTGGTTCCTCCACCCCTGCACTCACACAGACACAGACTCCATCCAAGCAGATTTATGGATCCCTGTTCCTTTTATGTGCAAGTGCCTCATTTTGTAGCTGACACCTGCACTTGTCACTTGCTCAGCAGTCACCTTCAGTCCCTTTGTTCACACCTCTGTCACTTGAGATTCACTTGGTCCTGTGAACCTCCCCCATGTAGGGCCCGTTCCCTTGCAGGGCTGTTCTTAGAGTCAGTGTGTGTAGGTGCCCTGTACAGAAGCATGGTGTAAATGGGATATATATCCAGGATTTCCAGATATATTTGAGGAGCTTATCCCTACAAACAGCTTCTTCAAGGKCCTTCCAGTGCCTAAAAGGACTCCTAGGAGCTGTGGAGGGACTTTGGATAAGGACCTGAAGTGACAGGACAGGGGGGAATGGCTTCCTGCTGTCAGAGGGCAGGGTTAGATGGGATATTGGGAAGAAATTCTTTGTTGTGAGGGTGGAGAGGCCCTGGCACAGGGTGCCCAGAGAAGCTGTGGCTGCCCTTGGATCCTTGGAAGTGTCCAAGGCCAGGTTGGACGGGGCTTGGAGCACCCTGGGACAGTGGAAGGTGTCCCTGCTCGTTGCAAGGAGTGGGACAGGATGAGTTTTAAGGACCTTTCCAACTCTGGCCATTCTGTGATTCAGTTTGTGCAAGAAGGTGTAAATTTTGACCTTAGCCTCATTTCCWGCTACTTCCCCATGAGAGGAGAAAAGGCATGTGCAGAGTAGTGTCTGTGAACTGTAACTATTGGGCAGGAGCCATGGCAGATGACACCCTGAGAGAATTTGCAGCACAGCTTGAGATTCTTTGCTGATCTTTTGCTGGAACCTCCCTGCTGTGTTCTTGCTCACTCGCAGGCAGTCTCTGAGATCCAGAGTTTTGCAGTCAATTTGTGTCTGTTGATCAGCTCAAGCAGGTTTGGCAGAGGCTGCAATGAAGTGGCACATCCAGCTGGGTGCTGACAAGTGTCCYTTGCTGGGTGGAGTGGGGACTGACTGGGAGTTGTCCTTCAGGAACAGATGGTGCCCAGTCATGCTGTGTTGTACAGATTCTTCTCAGTATTCTTTCCTTTCAAAACATCTGAGTTTTCCTYTCCAGAGCCCACAGGTGTCTGAGAGAGCATCAGTGTGGGCTGACCGCTGGAAATGAAAAATCATTGCAGCCTGATRGGGGAATGGATTAGTGCTGTGTTACAAGTCCCAGGTCCTCTCCAGGAGCAGAAAAAAGCAGGACACAACTGCCAGAGTGTGCATTARTATTAGGGAAAGAACCTTGATTTCAGATAACCAGGATAAATATAACTGCTGGGAATTTCTTGATAACTTGTCAAGTAGCTTTAGATGTTGTAAATATTTTGTTTGTAGTTTTTTGCTTCATGATTTTGTGGCAGACCTGGTAGTGCTGGGTTAAYTGTTGGACTAGATGATCTTAGAGGACTTTTCCAAGCCTAGTAGTTCTATGAAAGAATTTGCTCTGCTGAATTGTTTTTATCCTTGCCTGGATACCTCGAAGAATAAAAGCTTCCCTGCAGTTCCAGTATCTGCCCATTGCTATGTTGTTTGATAGAAGGGAGACAGGAGGGAGAATATTAAATGACACTATTTAATGTTAAATTACCTTTATGGACASTCTAAATTTCCTTTGCAAGTTTTCTGACTAAAAAATATCTTGCTCTTCTTTATGCAAAACATTGCATAATCTGTGGTTCTAAAGTGAGCTGGCAAGAGCAGGAGCTGATGTTAAGGCCAGAGCAGGTGTTCCTCTGAGCTGTGTCACCTGAACAATAGAGCACGTAGGTGTAAGGGAAGGATTTGTTTTTTTGGAACTGTAAAGGAGCCAAAAACAGACTCCAGAGGTTTTTCTAAGCAAAGCTTTGCTCTGTCCTTTAGAGAATCTGCTGTGAACCTGGTGCGGAGCGGCTCCTACACCCGGCAGCCCTGGAGGGACGAGTCAAAGGGAAACGAAGCTCCCCACTCTGGGGCACCCACTACCTATGTCTCTACCTACTTGAAAAGGTATGTCCAGTTCTGTCTTATGTAGATTCCCAGGCAGTCAGAACCACTCTTAACGTGCCTCCCAGACCTTAGCCTCCTGCTTGCTGCTTCCTGCATCTTGTAACTGGCCTTGGGACCCTCTTCTGCTGAGAGCAGGAAAGAGAAGTTAAGATTTTCTGACATTTGTCATGCTAAATAGTGGTTTTAATGGCTATAGTTTTTATTAATTTGCAAAGTGCTGGGCTGAATTTGAATACTCTTATTTCCACAACTCAAGTGCAGTGTTTTCTCTGTTTAATGCTGGTGTCACAGTTAGAGAATAGAACCAAAATAGATGATAAAAACAGATTAATGTAATAAGAGTCTGAAAGCATTGTTCAAATTACTTTTAGTGAGTAAGGTGTAGCTTATCTCTAATTTTGGTTTATATTAGTCCATGTTTATGGCTTTATCAGAGTTATTATCAGTGGCAGTGATCTCATGCACGATACACAGCACTTACTAAGGAGTGAAGCTGATGCTTCCACCATTGTCTTGTGGCTGTAAGGAAACAGTTTGTGCACAGTGTGTGTGAAGTTGTAGAGGCTGATTGTTGGTAAAGGAGTGAGGCAGGGAGGCAGTTCCAGGCAGAGCTCCTGCAACTGCAATATGCTGGATCCCTCAGGAGGCAGAGCCTCGGTAYCCTTGAGGGACCAGCTAGCAGCTCTCTCTGAGCTGAAGGAATGCCCTGCTCTGGTGAGGCAAATAGTGCACTGCTGGGTTTTCATCTCAGCTCTGAGCAGAAGGATCAGCACTGCCAGCGCCTCGCCTTTATTTCAGCTGTTACTGGAGACCATCAAAACAGCCTGTAATAAACATGTCTCACTGCAAAAAAAAAGTGTTCGTGCTTAAGAAAAACAGCAGTAATAGTTCAAGGTTTTAGATTGAATTTCACCAAATTCTAAATCTTGAACTGTCCTGAAGATGGAACAATTGTTTGGGATACTTGGGAAGAGGCAGTTTGTTCACTGTTTATGCAGTAGAAGCAAGTGGTGCTCGAGGATGTGTGTGGCCAGGTGCTGAGCACATACAGATCCATTGCCACAAAAGGTGAAGCAGCCCCTTCAAGCAGAAGCCTTCTGCTCTGCTGATCCATTGCAGTGACTTCACAGCTATCCTGGGACGTGATGACAGCCCAGCCTCCATAGCTTGTCTCTCTCCAAAGCCACTGTGACAAGCTGCAGCTGATTACATTGGAAAACTTTTGCCCCTTGCAGCTGGCACACCTTTGCTGCTCCCTCCTCTGAGGGACAGCCCAGTCACCCCCAGGCAATCTTAGAAACATTGCTGGTTTATCCCAGCTAATCCTGCACCAGATTTAGTGTTGCACTCACACAGTTGCACTGTATTTCCTTSGTTAAACTGAACAGAGAGTGGGGAAGGTTTAGGCTGCAGTGGGATGTCACTAATACTGAGTTCTTAGTCACCAAAGCTGAATTCTGGCCTTTCATAAGAGAGTGGCTGGTTCACAAGTAGGTACAGAGAATAGCTTTGCCGGGTAGGAATTAATGTGCTTTTAAAGGAGAGATCAGTGCGTTTGCATTTCATATACAAATAGTAAAGCTGTGATCGATTAGACCTTTATCCCATATCATTTTCTGTAGGAGAGCACAGAGAAATTGAATACAATTGTATTGAAACTGATTTCTCCAGCCTTGTGCATCCTCCCCTAAGATGAGGAAGGAAACCAGATTCCCTGCTAGACATAAACTTTTTGTCATTTCCAAGTATTAGCAAAACTCTGAACACAACTCTAAAAGGCTTCTTCTTAGAGAGGAAGAATTCAAGAGAGGATGACATGCTTGGCTATCACTGAGGGAATGACTCTGTACGTGTGCAGCTTCCCTTGGCCTCAGCATTTGACTGATCTCCATAAAGGTCCCAGACTGCTTTGGGTTGGAAGGGACCTTAAATCCCATCTCAGCCCCTGCCATGGCAGGGACACCTTTCACTATGCCAGGGTGCTCCAAGCCCCATCCAACCTGGTCTTGGACACTTCCAGGGATTCAGGAGCAACCACAGCTTCCCTGGGTACCCTGTGCCAGGGTTTCCCCACCCTTACAGCCAAGAATTCCTTTCCAATATCCCATCTATCCCTAGTTAAGTTCTTTTAGTGCTTTATGTGATCGCCCAAGCATAGAATGAACAACAGCAGCAGATCATCTTAAGATGTAGAAAAAGGCTGTGTTTTGTGGGGTTTTTTTTTATTTTGTTTTTGTTTGGTTGGGGGGTTTTGTTTGTCTGGTTGGTTTTTTTGATAAAAGGGAGCAAAATAACTTGCAGCAATGTTACAAATGTTGTTCAGCTTTAGTTGAAGCAGATATTGAAGCTCTCTCTGTCATCATACTGGCACTTGTCCTGCTTCCTCTATGTGTACCACTGGCCCAGAAATCCACAGAACTCTTCTCTGACATCCTGGTGTCCATGCTAGTGCATATTGGCCTTCAAAAAGCCGGGTCACTTCACCTGTATATGGAAGGATATGGAGGAAAACTGGCATAGCAGGTTGGATTAGTTCAGCATCCTGTCTTCGACATCAGCCAGAAGTGCTGCCTCCCAGGAAGGGCTCACACACCAGAATGAAATCCTTCAGCCACGCAGTTTCTCCTTCATTTCTTTTATACAAATTCCACCTTGCTGATTCTGGTCACATAAAATCTATTGCAGTGAACCAGGACAACAGTCCCTGCAGCCCAGACTCTGTTTCTGACAGCAGGTGGTTTTGGAGGAGAAGTTGCAAAAGCCAGGATAACTTCAGAACAGTCTTCCACCTCCCACACTCTCCTTGCTTCCAGCAATCAGGAATTCAGGAGCCAGAGGTTATATTTTACCATTGTTCCTAATAGCCACTATTATGGCCAACTTCCATATGCAAATCTTAGTTTGATTTCTGTAATACCCTATGGCAGTGTGTTAAAAAAAACTAGTTATGTGCTTTGTGCCAACCGTTTTTATTAGCACATGTGGAAGCTTTTTAAGAGTGTGAAGGTTCTTAAGTTATAGCTTTTAATGCTTTTGCTGTTCTCAGATGTATTTCTTTTTATTGCTTTGAAATGTTGCTTTACATTTCATTGCTCATTCCCTGATGGTTCTGTTGTGGTGATAATGTTAGAAAATGAGGAGCAGTGTGTCAGGGCCTTTTTTTATTTCTAATGTTAAATTCTTCAGCATAAATTCATAATCCTCCCTTTCACAGACTCATAATGGACACAGCTGTTAATTAACAGGATTCCCTGGCCAACCTTTATATTGCAATTTTCTGCTGCTGTTCAGATCAAACATGAACAATGGAATAAATCCTTGGAGTTCTCCTCAGACTGTGCAGTGCCACCCGTGCAGGGAGACAGGCTGGGAGGTGGCTTCCTGCAGAGGTGGCAGTGCCTCGGCTCCCTCGGGAGCAGGAGCGTATTCTTGCTGCTCCAGCACCGCATTTCGCTGCCCATGTGCGCCAGAGCTGGCACAACGCCATTGCTGTGTCCTCTTCCTCCATTTCTCCCTCTCCTTCCCCCTCCTCCCCCACATCACTGCTCTCCCAGGCACCTGGAGCTGCTTCCATCATCCTCAGCCATCACCTTTCCCTTCTGGAAGACAATCCTTGTCAGGGCTTTCTTGATAACCCTCCTGCACCCTCCCTTCCTGACCAAGTTCCTTCTCTCTCTTGCAGCCACCCTCGTGCCCCAGCCTCTCTGCCTTGGGCTCTCCTAGGATGGTGCCACATCAACTCTGCTCCCCCAGGGCTGCCACCACCTTTTCCCCTCCTGATTCTCTCATTCCTTCCCCTGACACAGGCTCCACTGACATACTCTCCTCAGAACACTCATTTATGCAACTCCAGGGCTGCTTGCTCCACACACCCACCCGGCCAGGCTCCACTCCCTACTCCCTTCCTCCTCTCAGCCCATCTCCAGTGCTTGGCCTTTCCCTCTGGAGCAGAGAGCCAAGAAGGGAGGCACTTGCTTCCAACAGGACTTCCTGCTCCCCCATGCTTCAGGCAGGGGCCAGCATTCCAGAGGAGGCTTTGTTTAGGGTCTGGTGGAGGTTGCTACCTGTGACAATTACTTGCTTGTTCCTGTGTGACCTGGATATGGCAGGCAGCCATCAACTGAGGAGCCCAAATGGGAAGTTCCTCCCTGTGGAGGCCTGCCAGGGTGCCCCATGGAGGCTTTCCAGGATGCTGTGTTGTCCCCTTTGGCTCCCTAGGGACCAGCTGCTTGTGCTGGGCTGGCTGGAGGCCTTGGCATGTGAGACTGGCTTGTAAATTGGGTGTTTGGGTGAACAGGACTGGATCCTTCCTCTGGCCTCCTGTCCTTGGCCGTAGACCTGCCCCTTCCCAGTGATATTTCAGTCTCAGACTGTTCTCTGGATTCTTACCTGAAAGTTTCAGTCCGTTGTCCCTGGCTTTTCCTAAAACCTGCAGCTCTGTCCCAGCCTGCTGCTTTCCTCTAGGTCAGCTTTTATTCCTGTCCAACTGCTTTGATCCATGTGCCCTGCCATGAGAGGCAGTGGGATGCAGAAGGTGAGAGCCAGCCTTCCAGCCTCCCTAGCCTTTGATCCTTCAGACAGTCCAGTCTGACCAGTAGCAACCAGGCGTACGAGCTGCTGGGAAAGGAGTGGCAGGGCCCTAGGTCCCACAGGATTGCTCTGTGCAAGCAATGAGCAGCTTGTGTGCAGGGCTTGAGCAAGAAGGAGCTTCTGCCAGATTTCATCAAGGCTGTTTTCAGACACACGCAGCTTTTCCCACTAGAGTGGATTTTCTCTCCCATTAGGGTAGATTGTGTCTCCCACTTAGGCTGGATTTTCATTGAAAAAGCAAAAGGATACATCGCTGTATAAGAGCCCTTCTTCTTTCCTCCTCCTTCTTCTCCAAAATATGAACACAAACACAGCTTTTCAGTAAGATTAGTTTTCAGGGTTTGCTTTAAACTGGCAAAATATGTATTTCCCTTGCTCATTCTTTAATATTTTTGGGCAGCTGTGCTAGTTGTTTTCCAGAAACAGTTTGTGCCAAACATGCCTTAAAAAGAATTAAAGTCTGAGCTGATCATCTTTGCCAAAACTTTAAGCCACTGGAAACACGTTCTTAAAACTGGAAGTCCTGGACATCCTCAGGGGTGATGCAGCCAGATCCACTTACGTCACTCTCTCCTTTCCTGCTTTAAGCATCCTCATCCTTGCAACCACCTTTCCCCAGGGCACAGGGTGCTCCATGTGCCCTGCTTTCAATGCAGCAGGGCTTTTCCCTTCTCTGATCCTCCCCACCTCACCCTCAATCCATTATTCTCTCGCTGGAACTGAGCTGGGCTTAGCTAAGCGGGGCTCTGCTGGCGCCAGCCTGCGTGGGGACAGCTCCGCCGCTCTCTGATGTCCTTGCACACATTTTGCTGCCCTGTGGTGCCTGCTCCCTTCCCAGCTGCCAGCCCAGCTGTGGGATGTGCTGTTGAATATTGACTGTGCTCTGAAGGACATGATTTTGTGCTGTTTTACAGTGCTTCATTTGGTAGAAGTAGTGACCTGAGCAGTCCCTACATTTCAGCCAGTTGCAGTCCATCAATAGCTACCTCACCCACTGCCATTGGCTCATCTACCTCCCTGGGCACCCCGTGGCAACCTGTCTCTTGCTGTCCCACATCTCTCGGTGCGAACACTYCTGCATCAGCCCGCCACTACACCAGGTAACGGCTCCCAGCGGAGATAATGCTCCCAAAGTCAGCGCTTGGGTTGGAAGTTCTGAGCTCAGAGTGGATTAGGGATTGGAGATGTGCTTCCGCATGGGAAGCGCTGATAAACAATCCCAGAGTGATAAGCAATCCCAGGATGGTGGTGTTGRACAGTTCCGGTGGTGGGTGTGACTGGCAGGCAGGTGACAGCCTGCAATGTGTCCCTTGTGCCCTCTGTCCCTGTGACACAGCGCGTGCTCAGGCCGCTCTTGGGTGCTCGGTGTACGAGCTCTTGGAGTTCCTTCCTTCTGCTTTCCCATCAGGTACATTTTTCTAATAATTTTTGCTACAAACAGGGATGTGAAGACTATTAATTCCTCCTATTCATTCTTCTCCAAGTTTTGTGAAACTCATTTTATGGTGGCTGTTCTCTACAAACACATGAATGTAAAGTGAGGAGGATGAACTGTCCATGCTCCCTCCAGGAGGTTGGGCTCGGTCAGCACTGGAGTTCACTTGCTTTGCTTTCYATATGTCTTCTCTATTTCAGAGCCCCTTTCAGGCAACAAACTGATTCTGCTGTAGAGAAAAACGCAGAGGGCAGCTGTGCCAGCACCCCTCTAAGTGTAATCACAAACTGTGCTGTGCTCGGCGCGGCCAACAGCACCGCGAATGCCGGGGCTGCCTCCGCCCCGGGGAAGGACCTCTCGGCTGAGGAGGCCAGGGAGCGCAGAAGGTTAGTGAGCAGTGGGCTCTGGTGGCCCCATCTGTGGGCTGCTCTCACACGGTGGTGATGGTGGGGGTATAAGAACTGGTTTTTAGGTGCTCTGTGGAGTTCCCAGGCTGCTGGCCCTGCTCCCTCCCTGAGTCATCACTGGCTTGTCAGTTAAATTTAGTTTCGTAATTTTCTACTYGTCTCTTCAGCATCTGAGCCTTTTTCTTCACTATTAATCTCAGCTCCTAATCTCAGCCCCATCCCAGTGTGTGTACAGGGACAGGTAGCGGAGCAGCTCCTTGTAGTGGGTTCTGTGAAATRAATCCCATCCTAAAGAGACCATTGTGCTGAGATAAAGTCAGATAAAATCTGTCCCTCTGATTCCGCTCAGCCCTGTTTACTTATGCCCTGATGGCGACATCTGTGCTGCACAGGTCCCCCAGATTCCCTCTGCAGTTAGTGGGAGAAAACAAACATCCCTGGGGTATGTAGGTGTGTGACACAGGAGGAGATGGACTCCAGCAGCAGTGATTTGATTGACTGGAAAGGCCAGGAGTGGGTCTGCCATGTGCAACTGAGGCCATTCCAGGGGCAGTGTTGGGAATGACTCTGAGTCCAGCTGGTGGTATCTCTTTCTTATCACATGGTGTTATTTGAAGACTGGGAGAGTGCAAACCTGGGGAGCCAGAGCTCTTTTCAAAGGAACTTTACCCTATGCATTAGTTACAGAATGTGAAATGATCCATATATCCTTGCAAACAGAACTTTTCCAAAATATGTCTATTCTAATGGCATCAGCGAAARCAAATAGTTATAAATAAAAGGCAGCAATGAACTGAGTGTTTCCAACCATCAGCAARTTCATGCAGAATATACAGTACTTGGATTCTTCCAAACTGTCATAGTGATTTATTGAAATACAGCTCTTCCTCAGTGCAGATAGTGCTCTGACACATCTTAGATGGCCTCGGGCTGAGGGATGGCAAAAGCAATAATGGCAATTATCAGCCTACAGGGCTTAAGGTGATGGGGCTGAGATGCTGCTCAGCGTCACCTGCAGCCCATCCTTGCAAGGTGGGCTGTGCTGTTGGAAAATACTACAACTTGTAATGAAGTTTGGCTTTTCTTTTTTCCTGAGCTAGCACAGGTAGTGCTTGTAAGGTATTGGAAATGTTCTGGAGGAGCTACATTCATCAGCTGTGTGTTCACGGACAGTTTCAACTGGCCACTGCATGGTGTCTTTGGTGTGTCTTTGATGGGTTAACCCTGGAAATGCCTCTGTGTGCTCCTGTTGCTTTACTGGAGGTCATTTGGCTTGGAGTCATTTGCATTTGAATCAAGACAGCTGCCAAAAGATACTGCCTGTGCCTAGTGAGGTTGTGAAGGGGACAGAGTGATCATTACACTCTCAGTTTTCACTTCAAACCTTTCACAATGGTCTCTCCATTTTGGCAAGCCCAGAATTAAGTTGAAGAAGCAGATTTTTTCCTGCAGAAGCGGGCTGCACAAAGTCCCCCAGACTTCTGGCACTGTCTGCGGAGAACTGGACCAGCACAGTTAGTTGTAGATGCCAAAAAAAGCATCCATTAATATTACTGCATTGGCATTTACTGCCAAATGTTTCTATAAATAATACCGAAGATCTGTTTGTCTCCTGCRTTTTTATTAGAGAACCATCTCGTGTGAATTATGGTAATGTAAAGRGAAAAAACTAGAAAATTCCTCCCACCTTTAACTGATGCTTTGAAACTACTGAAAGAGGAAAAAAAGCCCAGAAATTATGCATTGTGTTAATGGGGGAGGAARCTGAACTGATGAATGTACATCCTCACAGTAGGATAAAGTGACTGGGAGCTGCTGACACACTGGAACTAGGAAATGTGGACCCAGGGAGACAGGCGAAGTCGCCTAAATGGGAAAAGCTTATTTGGGGAGGAGACCAATTCCAGTAAAATAAAATAAAAAGGCAAATGGCGAACAGTTGTCAAGGCAGTGCTGTATGGATTTCAGTTCCCAGTGGCAGCTGTTGCAGGAGTGTTTGGGCTGCTTTGGTGTTTCCAAAGCGCCAGCTTGCTCYTAGCAACAAAAACATAAACAGCCTGATCATCTAATTTTAGATCATAGGGATCTCTCCGAACTTGTGGCCTTAAAATTATCTGTGTGAAGCCAAAAGGTTAAAGCAGAAGAGGCTGCTAGGGGCAAGGGAGGAGCGACTGGCAGAGTGCTCTGGAGTGCTGGTTTGCAGCCTGTGGTGCTCAGCAAGTCTTACCCTGCCCCAGCACAGCGTTTGACCCATGGTGGTTCACCTGCTCCTTGTTTTCCAGCTGAATTGGCCAGGAAATGCTCCAGTAGTTGGCAAATAGTATAAATTGCRAAGGGGAGGGAAGAACAAGCAGCAGAGGGGCAGTGGAGCAGAGGTGGGTTTGAGGTGTCAGTGCCGCGTGGTGCCGGCCGGACCATGCCCGCTCCTTGCTGGGGCTGGCTGTGCCCGAGGTTCAGCCTGGCTGCTGCCACCCGTGTCCCCTGTGTCCTGCAGCACCTCCAGCCTATGGCACTGTGCTGTGCTGCTGTGGGCACCTGAAACTGGCCATCTCCCACAGCAGGGTCTCRTGCCAGCCAGTTTCTTTTGGGTTTTTACTGGGAATTCTGGAGCTGCTGATGAACAGTGCTGTCTGGCCACTTGGATGATCTCCAGCCAAAAGCAAATTGTCACCCATTGTAAATGTGTTTGTCCACTGAATTCAAACAGCCCTGGCTCTGCTGAGGGTGGATTTCAGCTGTGTGGATTTTGTGCCTGCAGTCCCTCGCACAGACCCTGCTCCTCCCGGGGCAGAACAGCTTCCTCATTGCTACTGGGTGCCCACAGYGGGTGGGGAATGGGGGTCCTGTTCGTTGGAGCCCAGTGTGAAATTGTTTGCTTTCATCCAGGGTGACAGCGGCCTCTAGTGCCACCAAGAGCTCCTTCCCCAAGTTCTCTCCACCCTTGTCTGTGCAGGTTCAGTGCAGGGCTCAGGTCATAGAGTCCTGCTCCGCCAGAGTCTTCCTGGTGTCACAGGCCCGGGCTGCTCAGAGCTCTGTCCCCTGGGCATGGAAAGGGCCTGCAGGGTATCCTGCCATAATGGAATACCACTTGTGCCGTGAGTTACCTGTGCTGGAAGGAAAGTCTGGGAGATCTGGCTGAAGCTTTTCATACTCTGTGGAAGTTTTAGTTCCCAGAACATGTGGGAAGGCARTGATGCAGCCCACAGCTGGCACATGGGGTGAGACAGGCTTTGCTTGACAACTTCTGAAAGGCAAGTCTGTGCTCTYGGTTTTGTGGCCAGTTTAAAAGGACTCTTGGATTTGAAATCTCTCCTGGTTTGGCAAGAGGTTTTTAATTTAATTTTAATTTTCATCCCCACACACACCCCCTCACTGTGTTTATACAACTGAATTCTGCCATTGTTTGGTTTTTTCCTTTTCCTGAGGAAGGTTCTAGCAGGGTGGTTCCAGCACTTGCCGTCAAGCATACTCTTACAGRCAGGAAACTAATCTCTCACCTCCTTACTTTTTAGTTTATTCTGACCATAACTGTCCTATCCCTGGAAGTGTCCAAGGCCAGGTTGGACCAGGCTTGGAGCCCTGGGATARTGGAAGCTGTCTCTGCCCATGGTGGGGGATAGAATGAGAYAAGCTTTAAAGTCCCTTCCACCCAAAMCATTCCATGATAAATCCAGAGCAGGAGTGAGGTGGACTTGTTTTCTGGGCAGCTTTGGGGCTGGTGTCTCTACTTAGTACATGCTTTCTTGCCTTCTAAAGTTTCTCCTTGAATTTTTTTCAGCTGAAGGAAGTTCAGACATGCCAGGTAAATGTGTTTGGCAAACACTTCTGTTTCCTGCTTCATTCCCTAGAGGATTTTATTTTTTCATTCTAAGGATCCAGCTGCTAATTATGGTAGTATAGATTATTAAAATATTAATAACTGAATCCTCCTCCACCAGTACTGTTAGATGAACAATTTTTGGCAAGTCCTTTTACCTTGTGATTCTTGTGCTGTGGGCATTCCAAGTGTGTGTTCTGTAGGATGAGCATGGATGTGTCACCTGCTGTGTCTGTTCACCCTTACGATCTGACAAAGAGAATAAAAGCCCCTGATCTCTGTGCATCTCTATGAGATTTGTGTTCAAGGGGYATTTAAATGTCACTTGAGAGGAACTGGTAGAAAAAGCTGTGAGCATTAGCTTGCTGSCACCTTTTTTTTAAAAGCATTTGACTCTATAATCCTTATCTCTGACTGATGTAAAGCTGAGTGGTCTTAATCTCCTGGGAGAGGTCCCTGGGAAAGCAGAGCAGTGGGATGCTCATGCACGGAGCTGGTACAGGGCAAGGGAAAGATTCCTGTCCACACTACACAGTGGACAACAAGAAGTTAAGAGGTTTCTCTCTCTTGTGAAGAACTGAACGATCATCTGGCACCTGCTGTGACAGCATTTCTCTGCCACTGCCTCTGCAGTTAATYGCTTTCAGATAAAGTTGTCCCTTTTTTCAAAGGCTGCTGGTGCAGATGACGTGGGAGGGCAGGAATTCTGCTGGCCATAGGATTGTCCATGTTGGGAAGAGGAGAGATTGCTCCTGCTGGATCAGAAATCAGGCTGCGTTTTTATTTGGAGTAAGGTCGAGGTGTGGGCTGGGGTCAATGCAGTTTCCTGTAAGGGCAGCAAGCAGGTGTGTGCTGCRTGCTCAGCTGCCAGGGCTTTATCCACCCAGGGCAAGGGGGTGGRTATTTTGGCATTTGCTTTGGGTGGGGGAGCCCAGGCTGTAGGTTGGCCTGCTAACAAAAGCAGGAATCCATGCAGGATCCTTCAGGAATGGTCAAGGGAAGGAAGCAGGGACCACTTGAGCTAAGCATTGTAAAAGAAGCGCAGCTCGGCAGCGTGGAGCGAGCAGAAGGTAAAACTGCGTTTCCCCAGCTCCGTCCATGGCGARTTTGTGTGCAGTTCCTCTTGGTTTTCTAATGGGAGCCACTGCCTTGCTGCACGCGC